GCCGCAAACCCCCTAAAAATCCCGCCCTAAATTCCAAAATAAAAAAAAAAAGATAACCCCCCCAAAAAAAAGGATAAATAAATACAATGCTTCCATTCGGAAGCAAAAACCGTAAAGTTTCGATGAAAAATTATACCCTCCCGCCACTGTCCCCTCGACCGTTGTCCAACCCCCCTCCCCCGCCGCAAACCCCCTAAAAATCCCGCCCTAAATTCCAAAATAAAAAAAAAAAGATAACCCCCCCAAAAAAAAGGATAAATAAATACAATGCTTCCATTCGGAAGCAAAAACCGTAAAGTTTCGATGAAAAATTATACCCTCCCGCCACTGTCCCCTCGACCGTNGAATAAATAAAAAACCCGAAAGTTCCGCCAGAGATTCGAACCTCCCGCCACACCCACTGGACCGCCGCCACTCGTGCGGCTCCGTAGGCCTCCGTCTCCCCTCGGCCCCCAATGATCGCCTCAGCACACACATTACTATTTTCAGGCACAGAAGGGACACCTCAAACCCATCGTCTCGTTGAGTTTCATTTTATACGACAAAAACCGCGTCAAACTTCTAAAACCCTCGCGATCCCCGAGCCCCCGTGCGCGCAGTCCCTGCCCCCCGCACTCTAAAAACCCGAAACTCCCCCCGCACCGCGCCGTGTCGCCAGAATCATGCCAAAGTGTGTGCACTCCCGAGTCTCCAAAGTGCTCACCTAACAATCCCCCAAGTGTCAAGTGTAAATACCGAATAAGTGTCAAGTGCCCCCCAAACCCTCCGAAAAAAAAATGACCGCGAGTCCCGAGAGGGTTGTTCACCCCATCGACGTGTGAAACGAGTGATTGACGATCGCCACGAGCAGCTGATGGCGGCCAAGTGCATCTGAATCCCCCAAAAAATAACCAAACAGCCCCCAAAGTCCCCCAAATCCACCGAACCCGCGACAACTCCCCCAAAAATGCTGTAAACCGAGCCCCAGGACTAGAACCTCATCGTCAGAGCCGTAAAAGCCCCCAAAGTGCAGCCAAAAATCTCGTAAACAACCCCGAATTATCGGCAATTCCTTCGAGTGAGACTCGAGACGTGATATAACGGTGCTTGGAGCACTCTCTCCCCCCCTCGCCCCTCTCCGTAACTCCGGGAGCATCCGGACGGGCACGTAGCCGGTCCCGGCTATCGAATTTACACCGTAAAAACCGGAATAAACTCCGGGCTAACCCCCGAGTGTAAACAACTCTAAAAAAAAAAAATAGTGAGTGATTGGGGGAAAAAAAATTGAGTGAGTGAATTTTGGAGTGTCCGTGGTGAGTCTTGGGATTCCTTGGAGGTGTCCACAAGTGAGGGAGTTGTTGGTTTTGTGAGAAACTCACGCAAGAGGGCCCAGTGGATTGTGAGGAAGCGAAATAAGCCGATAATTTCTGATAATTCATCATTAACCGTGAAATTTGGGGCTTGTGTTGGCCCCCGGGTGTGATTTACTCGGTGATAAACTTGGGGAAAGGGTCTGCCGGGGGTTTTTCTGACGATTGGGGAGGCTCCGGGAGTTGAGGGAGTGCGACAACGCCTAGGGAGTGAGGGAATTTTGTGGATGGAGTGAACAACTTGGGGTTAACCTTGTGATTTGTCCGGGCTTCGGGGGATTTTTTTTCAAGGGGAAAAGTTGGGGTACGAGTGATGGTTTCGATGGTGATACAGGGTGATAATTCAGGAATCTAGCCGCCACGACATCACCGAGAGAAGAGGAACAGGGGCACGAGCGTGACGCCGGAGCAGCGAGACAATCCAGCATCCGCAGTGCCTCAAATCCTAACAACATGTCATCTGGCGCGTTTGTCGATCGGATAGATCCATTCGCTAAGCGATCGCTTAAGAAGAAGTCCAAGAAGTCGCAGGGATCCTCGAGGTACAGGAATTCACAGGATGTTGAGTTGCAGCAGTTGCCACAGCTCAAAGGTAATTGAATGAGGATTCAGCGAATGGTTGTTTATGTTTTAAGGATGTTTTTCGTGATTTGAGAGGAATTCGTGGGAAATCCAGGAGGAATTGTCGCTATTCAAAGGTTTTGGGGGGGCTCAGGGGATTTTTTCAGGAATTTATTTGTTTATTGTTTTTTTTTCTGAGGAATCTGAGGGATAATTGAGGGCAAATCAGTTTTTTGTCCTACAAAAGCCACATCCAGAGAATTCATTCTTTCTGGAATTTTTTCTGGATGATTTTGCGAGAATTGAGGGGGAATTTAGGAGAATTTTGTTTTATTAACCATTTGCTAAGAAATCGGTTAAGAAGGAACGAAGCCACAGGAATTGTCGAGGTACAGGAATTCACAGGATGTTGAGTTGCAGCAGTTGCCACAGCTCAAAGGTAATTGAATGAGGATTCAGCGAATGGTTGTTTATGTTTTAAGGATGTTTTTCGTGATTTGAGAGGAATTCGTGGGAAATCCAGGAGGAATTGTCGCTATTCAAAGGTTTTGGGGAGGTTCAGGAGATTTTTTCAGGAATTTATTTGTTTATTGATTTTTTTTTTGAGGAATTTGAGGGATAATTGTGGGCAAATCAGTTTTTTGTCCTACAAAAGCCACATCCAGAGAATTCATTCTTTCTGGAATTTTTTCTGGATGATTTTGCGAGAATTGAGGGGGAATTTAGGAGAATTTTGTTTTATTAACCATTTGCTAAGAAATCGGTTAAGAAGGAACGAAGCCACAGGAATTGTCGAGGTACAGGAATTCACAGGATGTTGAGTTGCAGCAGTTGCCACAGCTCAAAGGTAATTGAATGAGGATTCAGCGAATGGTTGTTTATGTTTTAAGGATGTTTTTCGTGATTTGAGAGGAATTCGTGGGAAATCCAGGAGGAATTGTCGCTATTCAAAGGTTTCGGGGGGGCTCAGGGGATTTTTTCAGGAATTTATTTGTTTATTGATTTTTTTTTTGAGGAATTTGAGGGATAATTGAGGGCAAATCAGCTTTTTGTCCTACAAAAGCCACATCCAGACAATTCATTTTTTCTGGAATTTTTTCCGGATGATTTTGCAAGAATTGAGGGGGAATTTAGGAGAATTTCGTTTTATTAACCATTTGTTAAGAAATTGGTTAAGAAGTCAAAGAAGTCTGCAGGAATTGCAAGATAATACCTGGAAATTTCACCGCAATTATCTTGATTTGAAGATGATTTTAAGGTGAATCTGTTTTTTTCTGTTGCTTTTTAGGAAACTCCTCCAGAGAATTCACTTTCTCTGGACATTTTGGAGATTTTTTGATGATAATTGAAAAGGAATTCATGATAATTTTGCAGGAATCACCTCAGTTCACAGATAATTGAATAAGTCCTTCTGAAAAATAACTTTTTTCTGAACGTTTTCGATTATTCAACGAGATGGAAGAGAATGCATGAAAAATTGAGGGTCAGTTCGTTCTTTCTGGATTTTTTTTTAATCACACAGAGCAATTCAGGAAAATTAAGAACTTGATGATAATTTGGCGGGCAATAGGTTCTCTGTCGCTTTGAAAAGATTCATCCACAGAAATTTTGTTTTGCTGGAATCATGTGATGATTCTAGAAGATAAGTCTGGAGAAATCCATCAAAATTTTAAAGTCAACTGATTTTTGGGGAATTTTAAAACCAAGAGAGGACGGATGTGGTTGATAAAGAAGCGTTGAACCCCCAAGAAAATCACAATCTCTTGAAGTGGTTGAGAATGCCTCAGCTGCTGATGATGGAGGTCCCCCCAAAGCAAAATTCTTGATGTTAGACGAAAATCTTTGATGCTAGCTAAAGTTCTGAAGCAAAATAGAGCTTCCTGGTGAGTTTGGAGCCGGAAATTTCCCTGGCTCTCTTGTGGTCGAGATTAAATTCATGTTCGAGCTGAGATATTCCCGAAAATAGCGGGAATAATTCACGTTTCTGACGTTTCAACAGAATTTACGCCCTCGGAGAATTCTTTTTCCACCGAAAAATCGAGAGTTTTCACTTCCTGGAGGATTACGAGCCCCAGGATTAATCAACAATACGAAAGATGAGCCGGAATATCTCATCCAAGTATTCTGAGGAATTGTTTTTAGCCAGTTTTCAAGAATAGAATAATTGAAATGAATTTTATGCAGTTGACCTTATAAATCAATCGTTATTATTATCTCGTATTCTGCCTATTGAATCTATTGTGCCATTCATGAATCTATAGGGAGTATCACAGCATTTGTTTTTTTGGCGTTGGACCATCTCTCACCCAACCTCACGTACCTCTGTGCCAGGAAGTTATATTAATGTTTATCTAAAAATAATTTCTCTTTGACGATCGGATGCACACCGATATACCCTTAATTTATGATTAAATCGCGTGATTATTCTTATATAATTTCACTGGAGTGGTTTTATTGAATTCTGCCGGGAGAATTCGCTTTATTCTTCCGTCGATGGGCCAATTGGAACAAAAAACCATTTGTGAATACAGATTGTTTCGGAAATATCTCGGATACCCTTCGATTTACGACAAAATGTCACTAAACATTTTTTGTGGGAAATTGAATTTTCTACAAAAATTTCCTCTGACATTTTTCTCTCAACTCAATAGTTTCCTAGATATTCGCGAAATAGTCTGGGTGAAGTGGTTCAGTAGAAAATTCACTCCCAAAATTGTCTAGAACTTCTTCAATTTTTTTTCTGTAATAATTCTGCGATAATTCAGTCCATTACATCATTCAGGCATTCGTCATGCAATACATCTCCTGAAAATACTAAAATACACACAAATAATCCACCTGGAATGTCGTGAATTCCCGTCATACCTCAGATATCACTTTACTCGTATCGTTTTTCCATTCTGGAATTATTTTCATTTAATATTTTTTTTATATGAAAAGTCAATTTTTCCGAGTAACTCGATTGAATGGATCTCGCCTGTAGGTTCGATTCAGTTTGTCTCCCCGAGGCTGGATAAAATATTCAGGGGGCCCACGCACTCGCAGGTATAGCTGCCTACGAGTATATGACTAAGACTTGTCGGTTTCTCCGTACCTTGGACGTTATTTTATGGTTTTCTTCTTTAGATCAATTTTTTAGGGCAATTTTGTCTTCAAAAAATTCGAAGAAAACGCCTTTTACACGAGAAAAAAATTATTTTGCATTACTTAATGGGTGGAATACATTCACAAGGATTTTATTCATGTCCACAAGTTCTTTTTTCAACTAAAAAAATTATTTTGTTGATTTTGTTGGGGTAAAAGTTTCTTTTCCTATCTATTCCCAAAAAAAAAATTATCCTCTCATTTTGTAATGCTTGAAGAACATTTTTCACCATCCAAATAATGTATTTAAACATTTTTTAAGCGAAAAAGAAATTTTTTCTTTTTTTTTTATAAAAAAAAAAAATAAAAATTGCCTGAAAAAATTATTCTTCGTTTTTTAATGTTCAAAAAACCTTTTTCTTCATCGAAATAATTTATTTAAACATTTTTTCAAGGGAAAAAAAAATTTTTCTCTGCTTTTGGGCAGAGTTATGATTTTAATTGAAAATGGACTATTTAGAATAATTTTTTCCTTGAAAAATCTAAAAAAATTGTATTTACATGAAAAAAATTGTTCTACATTCTGCAATAGCTGAAGAATATTCAAATGTATTTTATTCACATCCACAAGTTCATTTTTCAACACAAAAAATTATTTTGCTGATTTTTCTGGCGTAAAAGTTTCTTTTCTTGTCTAAAATTACCTTAAAAAAATTGTCTCCATTTTCTAATGCTCAAAGAACATTTTTCATCACCCAAATAATTTATGTAAACATTTCTTCAAGTGAAAAAAATTTATTTCTCACTGCTTTTTCGCAGAGTTATGATTTTAATTGAAAATTGACTATTTGGAATAATTTTTCCCTTGAAAAATCGACAAAAATTCTATTTACATGAAAAAAAATTGTTTTGCATTCTGCAATAGCTGAAGAATATTCAAATGAATTTTCTTGACGTCCACAAGTTCATTTTTCAACTAAGATAAATTATTTTGCTGACTCTTCTGGGCTAACAGTATTGCTTTCCACTCAAAACTTTTTCATTCAAAGTGAAAATTACATTTTCAATTGAAAACCGAGTTATTCCCGCAATTTGTCCACTCAAAATGATTTCCCAAAGTTTGATATACCATTCAACCCCTCGAACACACCAATCAACCTCCCCGGAATGACATCTGCACTAGTCGAAAGTTGGTGAAATACTCCCAGAAACTGTCGAATATCTGATTATCAATGTTGGTTGGAGTTTGTATCTAATTACCGTGGCTAATGGACGACAATAAACCTGCCAATGTCCATTAATTTCTCTTTGAAATACCAGAGGTGATCTGATTGTTGTTAGGGTATACAATGCTATCACACAATGTAGAAAGTCTGGGTATCTTATCTCATGTGACATCGATAAGTCCTTTGAAATTGACTGGAGGAGAGAGATTTAATCTCCTTCTGTTTCATTGATCGTTAAAAAACTATTTGGAAATTGTTTTTCGATCGTTTGGCGATAGCTTTCTAATGTAAACACAACTATTACTTCCTCCCAATTATTTCCAATGCATGAGGGAACGTTTCGTTCATGAAATTCAGTGATGAGAATGATTTTTTGGTCCTCTGAATTTTTTTTACACTTTTTTCCGCTATTTTGGAATTTTTTCAATTGTAGAATTGCATTCATCGATGAATGTTGGTAGGAAATATTTGGAATGGTGATTTTAATGATTGATTCGGGCATAAAAAAAATATTGACAATCATTTGATGAATTATTGTGGGAAATTCAGTGCTGAAAATGATTATTTTGTCCTCTGAATTTTTTAAACAATTTTTTGATGGCGGAAAAATCGAAGAATTATTTCATTGTGGAGTTTATAACTTGCATTTGTTAGTGAAAGTAACAAACTATTATTAATATATATTTTATGATTTTTTTTTTCAATTTTTATTCACTAAATT